GCGTGTTTGTGTGTGTGTGTGTGGCCTTGTGTGTAGATGTGTTTTTGTGTGTGTGTGCTTGTAACACGTTTCCATATTCAGAAATTCTGATCTGGATTGCGCCAAGGATTAAGTTCACAAATGGTAGGAGTGTTAGGTTTAAACTGAAAATATTTCAATCGAATAAAGCACTGAAACACGAAGCTGAAATTTAATATAAAAAAAATGGATTTTCGCCATGTACCAATTAGGCTAATGAACTGAGATGTGTGGATATGCGAGGAAAAGAGTCAACCCCCCCATTAAAACAAGCAACTGCGTCGTTGTCTAAAACTACAACCATCGAATATTAGTTGTGAATATTCTTATGCTCGTTGTCATGCGTGTAAGTGTAACTGTAAATGCATAAAAAAGTGCACACTATATTTTTAATAAAAGTCAAATTGTTCATGATTAAGAATCAAATTCCAAACTATTACAAAAATGTAAACAAACACAAATGGGCCTCTTCCTCTCTCCACTGAAAAACGGCGTATCAGGTACAGAGATGGAGTGATACTTAATACTAAAATTTGACGTACAATGTTATGATGCGCTTTTACTTGGCACAAATGATGAAGTAAAACAATATATCTTTCTGTATCCTATTCCGACTCTGAGTACTTAAAAGTACAAGCATGCATGTTTGTAGGCCTGAACGACATATATCAATAATATACGTATATTTTCCATGAGCCTTATATTTGGACATGATGTCAGTTTTGTTATATTTATTAATATTATTATTAGTGGTAGTAGTAGTAGTAGCTGTATATTTATTAATACTATTGTTGTTATTGTTATTATCACTATCAATATTATTATTGTTGTATTATCATTATAATTATCGCTGTTATTATTAGTATCATCTTTATCATCATTCATAATATCATCTTTATCATTATTCATAATATCATTATTATTCTTATCATTATTATTATCAGTAGTAGTAGTAGTAGTCGTATTGCCATTACTGGCATGATTACTATTATTATTCAAATTGTCTTTTTTTAGATGTTATTACCATTATTATAATAATTATTATTTATATTATAACTATTATCATTGGTAATGGTAGTGTTAATATTATCTTTATTATTATTATTACTAATAGCATTATTATTATTTTCATTATCATTATTATTTTTGTCATTATTATAGTTATTATTATCATCAATATCATCATTTGTTATTACTATTATTATTATGAGTCATTATTATCACTATTATTTTCATGAATATCATCATCAATATTGATATTACTATTTTCATTATTATTATTCTATTATTATTATTATTATTATTTTACTATTACCACGTAATTCAGATAAATCGTTGTATTCGTCACATAAATATGAGTTCGGTTTCTAAAACACTGATAATGATGTTAAACATTTATTTTCAATAACCGAAGCTGGATTCATAGCACCGTAATGAAAAGACACTCAGACTTCCAACAAACAATTTTCTTATAACAAAAACAAGTAACAACACACGAGGCAGTAGGATAAGGCGTTGAAACATGGCGAATATTCTTTTCGTGTCAAATAAATTTCGGTTTGTTCCTTTTGAAATTTCTATTGGCAAGCTCTATATTCTCAACATGTTATAATTATCTACACCTAAATAAATCTACTTTCTCAAAACGTAAAAGGTAAACACTGCTCAGTGCAATTGTCAAGTTTGATATATATGTGTGTGTGTGTGTGTGTGTGTGTGTGTGTGTGTATGTTGTGTGTGTGTGTGTGTGTGCATATATACATACTTTTATGTTGATTCTTAGAAATAGCATATATAATTATACCCCACTTCTATTAATTCTCACAGTCGGATGCTGGGTCACTCCATTATATCGAAAGCAAAAAGACTTTCCCATGGAAATAAAACACCTTGATATTTCGGTGAGGACGTAAAGAGAACCAGAAACAATAGCTCCATTAAGTTACTATCATCTTAATCGTGTTATGGTGTGAAATCTTTAGTCAATAAACAATACTTTTTTCCCTCAATTCGGTAACAACTGAACTGATCCCTTCCCAGTAGTAACAGTGGAGATCTATATGAATTGGGACGTACATTTTACAGATATAAACATTCAACTTTTTACTTCCTCTACATTTTACTCAATCTACATCTAAACATTAAAAAATTATACCCTTAACATGCAGTATTACAAGAGTTTCTTTAAATCTTGCTCCTATAAAATCTGCCAAGAGTGAATGAAGAGAAATCGAGCTGAGGTTGTAAACCCATTGCCATTTTTGCCAGCGCTTCTCCGCAAGCTGGGGCGATCTTGTATCCAGTGCCTGCAAAAGGGTATTATGGTTGTTATTATTATTATTATTAGAATATCCGATTCATGCATAAGACTTTACATTCAACGGCTTTGTGACCATCTGTATCAGTAACACATTAAGGAATAAGCTTTAATCAATGGCTCAAGCTCAAGTAAAGACCGTTAAGATGATGGTTGTACACTAGC